AAAGATGGGAGAGAGGGAGAGAAGGAAGGGGAGAGAAGAAAGAAAGAGTAGCAAAGAGGAGAAGGGAGAGGGGACCAGAAAGAAAAAAATATGTAACTTCAGTAACTCAAAAGATAATCAGAATCTGACAGCTGGACGTAGAGAATTAATTTCTCATTTTGTTCCATGCTCTCCCACATTCCCTTTGCAGTCAATGAGAACTCTACACTTGGCTGAGTTTTGAGAGGTGCACCAAAAGCTGAAAAACAACTCAGCATTTTTGTAAGATTAAGAATCAGCATTGTAAATAAGACTCCCTCTGAATTACTCAATCTGTGGCTTTCCTACACCAAAGGATATCGTTGTATCAGTAAGTAATTAAAGAAGAAAAGCTTTCTTTAGCCATTAACCATTTCAGTCTGTGCCAAATGAAGACTGATTTAAGTCTTACCATAACAATAGATCAGATACAGCTATTAAGTTTATTCCTAGTGTGTCATATGTACTCTTCCTCACATCACACTTTATGTTTTTCTATAGTGGTTTTATAGGAAATTAAATGTATGGCTCCTGGCTGGCTCAGTTGGTAGAGCATGTGACTCTTGATCTTGGGGTTGTGAGTTCAAACCCCATGTTGGGCATAAAGATTACTTTAAAAAAAAATCATTTCATTATCATTGAAAATAAAGGTATCTAGAACCTCTATGAAACAATACAACCCAAAAACATTCTCACCTTAGAGTAAACTAAATTTGCAGAAAACACTTTCTATTTTTACTTTTCTGATAGAAAGAAATGTGTAAGCAGCAATAAAGGAAATGTAACCCCTTCACAAAACTCTAAGAGTAATCCGTAATGAAAGTAGCCAAAATTTTGTTCACCATTATATGAGAAACGTCCAACCTGGTAGAAATTTCAAGTACAGATTTCAATGTGTGTGTTTGTTTAATAAACTAACCACAGGGGCGCCTGGGTGGCTCAGTCAGTTAAGCACCTGCCTTTGGCTCAGGTCATGATCTCAGGGTCCTGGGAAGGCTTCCTGCTCAGTGGGGAGTCTGCTCCTCCCTCTCCCTCTGCCCCACTCGTGCTCGCTCTCTCACTCTCTCTCTCAAATAAATAAATCTTAAAAAAAAAAAAAACTAACAACTGCAGCAAAAACAAAAAAGGAATCACAATGTCAAAATGGTATAGGAGGTTCAAGTAACAGGGATGGGGTGGGGTGTGCTGTATGTGTGTTTAATCTTTCCTTACCTAGGAGCCTTTCACTGCCCCACTCAGGAGGTACAAATGTTAGCTACCATTTTGCTTACCTGACTTTATTAACCTCTGATGCTTTCCACCTTCATAACTGAAGCTACGGGGTTTCAAAAGACAGTTTGACTGAGTTAATATGTAACATTAAGATATCTTGTTAGGATATCTTATGTGATTCACCAGCTTGCAATGAACTCAACATATTCAGATAATCAGTGATCAAAATCAGCAAAAGGATACTCACTGAGTTAAATGGGTAGGAATACCAGACAATTTCACTGTGTGGACTAAGAAAGTTAATACAACAGGATCACAGTCCCTTATCTGAAACCCTTAGGTCCAGGTATGCTTCAGATTTTTGTGAGTCTTAAAGGTCAGAAGGAACATACAGCATATATTACGTAACATTCCTAACTAGATCTAGGATAGCACCTCATAGCCAAATATATTACTATCTCTACAGCAAAATATGTGAATATTCTTTCTAAGTGGGCTTTAAAACTACTTTAAACAAGCCCATGACAGTCAGGTTCTGCCACCAAATGAGCTTTGATGTCAGACTTTTGGAGGGAAAAAAAAAAATTAGTTTTTCTGAGATTTTTTTAGATGAAGGGTTGAGAATGTATATCCAATACCATTATACATCAAAGTATAAAGACATTTTCAAAATATATAGAGCTTATTAATTTATTAGAGATGAAAAAGTAAGGTAAATTAAAATTTAGCAAAGTAATAAAAAGATTTGTTCCTGGCAAAAAGAACCTTAAAAATTAGGAAACAAGGGGTGCCCCAGTGGCTAAGTCTGTTAAGCGTCTGCCTTCGGCTCAGGTCATGATATCAGGGTACTGGGAGAGCCCCAGATTCAGCCCCAGGTCTGGCTCCCTGCTCAGCAGGAAGTCTGCCTCTCTCCCTCCGTCCCTCCCAACACCCACTCCCAGCTCCTAAACGTTCGATTGCATGTGCACGGGCTCACTCTCTCTAATAAATAAATAAAATCTTTTAAAAAATTAGGAAACACAAGTTACCTAATTTTAATTTATTCAAATAAATTAAATAAATGTTGCGACTACTTAAAAATAAATGTCTGTTAGGGGCGCCTGGGTGGCTCAGTCGTTAAGCATCTGCCTTGGCTCAGGTCATGATCCCAGGGTTCTGGGATCAAGCCCCGCATCAGGCTCCCTGCTCAGCGGGAAACCTCCTTCTCCCTCTTCCACTCCCCCTGCTTGTGTTCCCTCTCTCGCTGTGTCTCTGTCAAATAAATAAATAAAATCTTTAAAAAAAATAAAAAATAAAAAAATAAATGTCTGTTAGAGGCAATGAGTATTTGAGTAAGACAGGAATGTCTGAGAACACTGATACTTATAGTCTTTTGTACTTCCTTTGCATTTGACCACATGTTGCATTTTCCCTAGCTTTTGGTTTTCACATTGTTTGAGATTTCAGGGATTTGCCGTATTTCCCATTCATCTTCTCCTCAGTTTGCCCCTCTTTTTTATTTAAGTGGCTATCCTGCGCAATGTAATTTGTTACGCACTCCAGATGTAACGCTTCTCAATCTTCATGCCTTGACACAATGGTAAGTTTTAACTGGTTGTGAGGAATGCCCAAGTAATTAGTTATGAACAAAATACCACAGTTTATAAAGAATTTTACATGTTTGTATATAGGTGTATTCAAAATTTTCATAACGACAGCATCACTCTCACTTACATTCTGATTTATTTTCTTGATAGGGAAAGAAGTGGCTTTATCACACTGTGAACTACCTATAAACCCACCACATAATTTATCTATGTCTATAAACAGGGAAATTATAACGCCCTGTGTGTAAACATCAGTCGCATGTGTCTTAGCAGAATAAAGTTTGAGAACGGATGCTCTAAGACATTCCAAGATGGATCTAAGTCACCGGAAAGAACGCCCAATGCCAACAACTAACCACTCTGAAATATGAAAAGAGCTATTCTCCCGACCCGTGCTCTCTTTTTAGAAAAGTACGGAAATCATTCCCCAAATCTGAAGGGGCACCATACTTAACTATGACATGCCTCAGTTATTTGTCACTTTTATCCTTTTATCTCTTACCCTGGTTATTCTTACTATTTCCTTTGTCAGTAATGAAGTGCTTACCTAACATCTCACACCCAGGTAAAAATGCACCAGTGTTTCATGATACCAGCGTTGAGAATTCTACTCGGCACCAGAACAACATGGAACTGTACGAGTCTCCTTACACATGGATATTTACAGTACTCTACTGAAATGTATTTTCTCTTCCTTATGATTTTCCCAATAACATTTTCTTTTCTCTAGCTCACTTTATTGTAATACAGTTCATAATACATTTAACACACAAAATATGTGACTGTTTACGTTATCAGTAAGGCTTCCAGTCAACAGTAGGTTATTAGTAGTTAAGTTCTTGGGGAATCAGAAGTTGTATGCAGATTTTTGCCTGCATGGGGGGGGAGGAGTTGGCACCCCAACCCCTGTGTTGTTCAAACGTCAAATGCACTTTAGAGAAAACAAAAATTAAAGGGCACAGGGTGGCAGAGCATGCAACTCTAGATCTTGGGATCATGAGTGCAAGCCCCACCATGGGGGTAGAGTTTCCTTAAAAAAAAAAAAAAAAGTTTAAAAAAATTAAAGCTTCGAAAAACTTCAGACTTAGTGGGACTTGGGATGAGGTGAGACAGAACTAGAAGAACACATATGGAGTGATGACTGTAGATAAGGGTCTATGCCACTGTCTTGTGTAATTCTCATTCTGTTGCATGGTAAATATGAATACGCCTTTTTGCACATAATGAAGGAAGTTTATTTTGAAGTGACATGCTTCAAGTCCCTCAGTCAGTAAGCAAGAGGGGCAACGGTAGTGGAGTCCAGGGATCTCTGACTTCCAAGCCTCTGTTCCTCGTACTACACCTGCTACTCTCAACAGAGGGTGACAAGGGCTCTTGTCATACTGAGGTATTGCCAACATGCTGACGGAAATACAGCCACTGAATATTGAGGCTGGAAGAGACCTTGTCTAAGAACTTGAATCCCACATTCAGTGCAGGACTCCTATTCACTCTTTAGCCATCTGTCTCCTACACCAGTTTCTCAAAGTGTGTCAGAGTACCTTGCACCTGCTTCAGAACCACTAAAGCACTATTTAAATCGCAGATTCCCAGGGCGCCTGGGTGGCTCAGTTGGTTAAGCGACTGCTTTTGGCCCAGGTCATGATCCTGGAGTCCCAGGATCGAGTCCCGCATCGGGCTCCCTGCTCGGCAGGGAGTCTGCTTCTCCCTCTAACCCTCTTCCCTCTCGTGCTATCTCTCACTCTCTCTCTCTCAAATAAATAAAATCTTAAAAAAAAAAAATCGCAGATTCCCAGGCCCCACCTCAGTCACACTGAATCAGCTTATCTGGATATGGGACCTGGGACCACTTAAGATTTTATTTTTAAGTAATCTCTACGCCCAACGTGGGGCTCAAACCTACAACCCTGAGATCAAGAGTCGCATGCTTCACCGACTGCACCAGCCAGGCGCCCCTGGGAGCCTCCATTTCTAACAAGTCCTCCAGGTTGGTGTTTCTCAAACTCTAAGTCCTAAGACCAATGTAACGAATAACACTGTTTTTTTAATAAAATAGTTTGGAACACATTAGATTTATAAAGATCAGATACGAATAGAAAATACCAGAGGGTACTACTCCTAGTACTGTTTCAGCAAAACTTTTGCTTAGTTTTTATATGTGGATCGGGATATAAAAGGCATTTCTCTTACCATACATCTTAGTCAAAAACATTTAATACAGCGGCTTTAAACAATTTTTGTCCTCATTCTTATCTCTTTTGAAATAAGTTACTGATACTTTATGTAATTATTCCCTTTACAAAAAACCCAACATTCAGTGTCCATTTTCAGATCTCAGTTATTCTATCCCAGGAACTTCCGTTTTATCCCCTGATCTCTTCAACTGAGCACCATGTTTAACTATTGGTTTAATTACTCAATCAATATTTTACAGTATTTATTTTCCTAAGATTTCAGAAAATCCAACTCATTCTTTTTTTCACTTTGTACTTTATATAACTGCCTCATGAGCTATAGTTATTTCACTAGATCCTTGAGTTGACTCACGTATCTTAACTTATTAAGTTTATATTTTTGTAGGTGTGTCAACGCTTCATGGTCTATATTCAATCCTTTAAGTCTTTCATTCCCGGGGCACCTGGGTGGCTCAGTCGTTAAGCGTCTGCCTTCGGCTCAGGTCATGATCCCGGGGTCCTGGGATCGAGTCCCGCATCGGGCTCCCCAATCCATGGGAGGCCTGCTTCTCCCTCTCCCACTCCCCGTGCTTGTGTTCCCTCTCTCACTGTGCCTCTGTCAAATAAATAAATAAAATCTTTAAAAAAAAAAAAGGCTTTCATTCCCTTAGTCTTTCATCTCCTCTGTATTTATATATACTTTTAGATGGAATTCACTATTGGCTTGCCCGCTTTTGCATTTCCACTGTGTAACTGGTACTTATTCCAGTTCTCATCTCATCCTTTTCTTTGAAAGAAAAAAAAATGAAAACAATCCCCATTAATACATGGGGATTATCTGCATGTATCTTTACAGTCTTAAAGTGATGTCTTGGCATTTTAAGAAACTGTAAATGCCTTCTAAGGGATAATATGAACATATATGAATGTTGAGAGAAGATATACTCAAAAAGTGCTTTCCTCAGGTATAACTTATATAGAAATCTCTATAATTCGACACAGTCTGTGATGACTGCCCTTGAGGTAGTACAAACCCACTGACTGAATTACAGTCACAGAATCTTCTAGCTGGAAGACCCTCATTCAATCTTTAGACTTAGTCCTTACTACCTTCAGAGCAGTGTTTCTCAAAGTATAGCCTGAGGACCAACTGTATCCAATTTACCTAGGGCATGTAATAAAAACCAAGCAGTGAAATTACAATGTTTTTATAATTCGGGTATGTTTTCATTTCATAGTGAGAGGAAGGAAGTTGACTAAAAATATAAAGAAGATATCACTCAGACCTATTTTAAAAGGTGCCCTCAGTGGTGAAATGTTAAAAAAATGAGGTGGACTTCAAACTACAAGTTCAAGAAAAGTGTCTCTTTCTTAAGTTAAGCACTGCTTAAGATTAAGTCCTAAAATCCAGGTATCCCACACTGGTGGTGATGCAATTTGCCACAATTAATTGCCTAAATTTAGTAAACTTAGAACCTTTAAATATCACAATTTTAAACATTTCTGTACTTTTATAAGACACTAATAATTTCAAGGATTTCCTCTAATACAGCATAAACAGCCAGGCCATTTTCAAAAAGTTTTTTTTAGTAGGGTTGATCTGTGAAGTCTTTATTACTTCTATGAAAGATTTCTAATGTAAAAGTAGTTGATATTCCTGGTTAAGATACAGGTAAAATGTGGCCCTTCTCCCTGCTCAGCGGGAAGCCTGCTTCTCCCTCTCCCACTCCCCCTGCTTGTGTTCCTTCTTTCGCTGTGTCTCTCTGTCAAATAAATAAATACAATCTTTAAAAAAAAAAAAAGTGGCCCTTGCTTTATCCATGCTCTGTGAAATGTAGGAAAACATAAACTTTTAATATGGCTGATGATGATTAATTAGAAATTATGTTTGTCATTTTACTGAGAAATATGACATTATACTTTAGTTTGCTGAGTCAGTTTTTCATGAATTATGCCACATTATGAGACTGTTCCTTCTTTTTAACTACATATAAAAAGCCTTATCAACTACATAGTCACTTACAGCATAAGCAAGCCATAATTACGTGTTCATCCTAGCTTCCACTCAAAGCTGTGTTCTCAATTCAATGTCTAAACAAATCTCTGTTTCAATGGATTAAGTATAAAGATCAGATCTATAAGGTCAGAGGTGGCATACACTTTTGAAGTTGTAGAGCAGAGCTATATGCATGTTTAAGGCAGAGCTATCTCACAAACTCCTAAACCCAGAACTTTTTTTTTTTAGATACAAAGATCAAGATGAATTAAAAAAAAAGGAAGGTGTCAAAATTACAAATTTTTGTAAATATCAAAGTCTCTAGCAGAAGATTCTTTCTAAACCGGCCACAGTAGCTCCACAAGTTGTAGCACTAAGTAAGAAACAACATATATTAACCTCCTCTTTTCAACAGCTAGCATTAAATGTGAAATGCAAATTAAGACTTCAGTTTCAGAACTTAATAGAGATATGCAGAATAATAAAATGGGAAGTTTGGAAACTCTTGGCAATATAGAAGCAAAACCTCTATCTAAATTCTTATTTTGATAATTAAGCTTCAAATCAAGTAAATATGTTTTGGATGCAAATAACTGGCAATTCATTGTCAGGGTGACTTCTTTTAGATCACCACTACAAGTTTTACACTACAAAAACTACTCTGACTTCAAAGACCAAGACTGTTCTTGAAAATATTGTTTTAATGAACCAGTTGTTTGATATCTCAAAGAAATGCAAGAGCTCATCAGATCGCTTTAATTCTGGAAATTACTGATTCCCATTTTAAACTGTGAATTGGTCAAATATACTTCCATGGGGAAAGAACTAACATTAAAAGTTTGCTCTAGTGAACAAAATAATGTGCCTCACATGTATAAATGTGGTGTTCTTTAGTAAATCAGGAATGCATTTTGAATACTCTTGCCATATGTTCAAAAATGAGAAACTTCTCTTGCAAACAACCTTAAAAAAAATCAAAAACACTGAAATCCACATATTTCGGTGTGCACTAAATTCATCTTACAGATCATCTCATTCTGACCAGTCCAATCAGACTGTTATGTATGTAACATATTAAGAGGTTCTCTTAACTATCTAAAATAATGTGATATTTACTTTCCATTAAAAGATGCTGGACACAGAACTTATAATCACCTAAGGTTCTCGGCAATGTCAAAGTATGTTTTGCTACTATATGGAAACTACCAGAAAAACCTGGTCCTCAGTTCCTCTCAATACTAAGACAAGCTTTTAGTAACATATATAATAACCCAGCAAGTCAGGCAACAGAACAGATAAGATTTCTTTCCTTTTTGTTTTATGGAAAACAGAGTTCAAGTCTATTTCTTTTTTTTTTTTTAAGATTTCACCTATTTATCTGAAAGAGAGAGAGAGAGAGAGAGCGCTAGAGCAGGAACACAAGCAGGGGGAGTGGGAGAGGGAGAAGTAGGTTTCCCGCAGAGCAAGGAGCCCAATGAAGGGCTCGATCCCAGGACGCTGGGATCATGACCTGAGCCAAAGGCAGATGCTTAACAACTGAGCCACCCAGGCACCCCTCGTCTATTTTCATTCACAAAATACAAACTCCATCTTCACTATGGTAATATTCTCGAATACCACAACTGATAAACACATTTAGTACAAATAGTTTTCTTAACTTATCAACAACTTGGAATATCTGAGGTGTTCCTTACAATGGAAGGGGGCAAACTGCAAGCTGGTTTTCTGCAACTGGGGCTCACCCTGCTACTTTCAAAAGTTCTATCAACTCTCACCTAGACTGTTACTTCTCAAAAACTAACTTTTCAGGCACTTGCTGCCCCACACATTATTTCACCAATTTTTCCATTTGGGAGCATACATGTGAAAAAAGCACTTAGGGATTTGAAAGTCGCTGTTTATTACAAATATCGGCTGTCAAAATATACCTAATTTCTCCAAATATGTAAATTTTGAAGGAAATTATGATTAACTTGGAAATAGTTATTTGCCTTTTATATCAAGCTGGTCCACTTCCACCACTGTCCATTCCACCCTTCCCCACCACAAAAATAATTGTCACAAACAGCCGAAGTTACCCAAGACAGAGCACCTAGGAAAGAGTAAGCAAATGCCAGTCACTATAATTAGAGAGGCATTCTGCACAATGCTTCCTTGGGTTTTTAATAATTCTCTCCACTCGTAGGCTACAATCTTTCTACAATATTATCTAGTATTAAATTTCATAGGCCTTCAACTCTGTAAAATTTCACTATCAATTAAAATGACTATTTGAAAGTAAGCTTTCAAATAACACTTGGCAGATAAATGTGAAATAAACATTTAAACTACCTTAAAATAACAGCAATTGAGTTCTAAATATTAAGAATCATAAATTGACTTCTACTGTGGGAAACTCAGTAAGACAAGATTTCTGGGGTGTTGCAACCCCAGTAAGGCATCTTCTTCTGTGAACAGTTACCGACCCTTAGGCCATACTAATAGCCATCCAGCTTCCCTGTAGGAAGAGTTTGCATACTTACCCAGGAAGGCAAATGGAAAGTACACAGGGAGGAAGATGGAACTGCGGCAAAGCCTTTGTCATATGATAGTGACCTATAAAGTATCAAATAAACGTACATCATCAGTATGGTAGAGCTTTACAATAGAGCCCCAACTCCTGCAACACCTATGAAGGAAGGTCCCCAAAACCCAGGAGTCCAGCTCCCCAACAACCCTCCCCTCTCACTACTTCCCACCCCCACGCGCAAACCTGTGAAGCAATAAAAGCAAAGAAGCTCCCTGTATTCAGAGAGCAGAGGCTGAGGGTAGCCCAGCTGGCATTCCAGGGTGTCTTCGGCACCCTCACTCCCTACTCCCCGTATGTACAAAGCTGAAAGTTGATCCTTTTCTGCAAACCCCAAACCCACACCGCGATCATTCATCAACTTGCACCAAGTGATCGCCGCCCCCAGGACAAATATACCAGTAACCGAATCATAGCAATCGATAGGCAGCCCGAGCCTCCACGGTGCCCAGGAGCCGGCCGGAGGTGGTACGGCGACGGCAGCGGGTCCAGGTAGCGCAGCCCTCAGCCCTGCAGACCTGGGGCGGCCACAGCCGTCGCCCAAACGCCCGGCCCCAGTCACAATCCCCAGATTGGAGATCGGAACCGAGCCGGGAAACACATTCGCCAGAGCCCCCGGCGGCAAGTGCAGGGCCACCAGGTCTCCGAGGTCGGGGTGGGGGGAGCTAGGAAACCGAGAGAGAGGAAAGGAGCGAGGGATCCCACCCCGCCTTTGTTGCTGGTCACCATCAAGTTTGCATCTTAGTACAAAATGTCGATCTTAAAGGCTGACAAGACAGAGGCAGAGGCACAGGGAGAAAGAGAAAGGGAATAGAGTCCATCTTGCTTTGGAGAAGAGGGGGGAGAGAAAAATGAAGTACAAATCCCACACTCCGGGCGTAAAAGTCGGCTAAACACCTTTCCATAACGGAGGAGCAACGAGTGGGGTGTCCCCGTCCCCGTGCCCGCTCGAACTGGCGGCGGTCTGGGCAGAAAACGCCTCCCTCTCCTCCTCTTCCTCCTCCTTCCCCTCCTCCTCTTCCCTCTCCTCCTCCTCCTCCCGCGGGCCCCGGCGAAGATCCCGCCGCCACCGCCGCTGCCTCCGCTGCCCCCCGGGGAGGCACCGCCGCCCGGCCGGGCGCTGCCATTCCGAGCCTGGACCGCGCGGCGCGGCGCGCGTGGGGCCCGGCGCGGGGTGGCCGCGCGGGGACGTCCGCGCTGGGGACCCCTGCGCCCCCTCGCCGCGGGCTAGCTACAAAAGTCGCGCGAGCAGAGGTGGCGGCGGCGCGCAGGAGAGGGGGCGCGCGTGGGGCCCCCACGCC